CAGCTTTCGGAAATTAGATAATTATCTCTCTCTCTCTCTCTCTCTCTCTCTCTCTCTGCACACCTATGTATACACATACAAACATATATGTATGTAATTATATATACATACATACATACATAAACATATAATAATAGATATATATGTAAATGTATATATAAATATATATATATATATATACATATATACATATATATAATATATATAATATATATATAATATATAATATATACACACACCACCACACACACACACACACACACACACACACACACACACACACACACACACACACATATATATATATATATATATATATATATATATATATATATATATATATGTACTGCATGTTAGATACACGTGCGTGGGTGTGTAAACAGATACAGCAGTAATAAAGATACATTCCCTTGAAAACATATTTCCTGTTAATATCCTTGTAAGGAGAGATTCTGGAGCCAGGTTATAAGGAAGGAGATTTGCAACGACAAATCACCCTCAGTTCTAATTTTGGCGAGCAACCTCGTGCAAAATTTATTGCTTTAGGTTGACGTTGAGACCGAGTGAGATGAGGTGAAGCATTATGGTTAACTTTGTCCGCTAAGATTCACCCAGTTATTGTTTAATAACTTTTTTTTTCTTTAATTGAGGCAAAGATGTTATTGATAGGCTGGTGATATTACGTAGCATGTTGATAAGTTGGTGATAATAATTAGTGATGGATGGGTTGGTGAGGATAATGGCTTGGAATTTGTGTTATTCCGATTTTAATTCAGGCAATAATGTATATTTCTCCTCGATAGAGTGGAAATAGAATGAAGTAAGGAGATAAATGAAATGAGTATAGGATCTGTTAAAAGTTTATAAAACCGTTAAAAGATCGTGACATTAAAAACAAAACGTTTTTTCCCGCTGGTTAGAAAAAAATAATAATAATAATGATGATGATAATAATAATAAAAACTTTCACTTTCGACTCGAGGTAACTTTGTCTGAAAAATCATCTTCCTAAAAAATAACCAATGAACTAAGATCCAAAATGTTTCATAAAACAACACCACTGAAAATAATATATATTCCAAAAACAAAAAAGGTACTTGAAATAATAGCAATAAAAAAAAAATCAGATGAAAAACGAACACGCCGTCATACGCTATTGACAAGGACATCGTTGCAAGGAAGAAGAAAATATTAACAGACATCCAATAATTGTATGACAGGTGGGGGGGGGGGGTGCGAATACTTCTGCCAGGGCATTCGAGTCTCATGGGGTTTTGTCTCATTGTCTCTCCAAGGTTACCATGAGAATAAAGAAGAATGCGTTCCTCTCTTCCTTAAAGTTTATAAAGCCAGGCGTAATTATAGGAGTTAATGGTAACTATTTGCTCACGATTATGGCGGGAGAAATTGGCGGGAAATTGCTAACTGTTTATGGAGAGTAAATAAGTTTCTGTCTTTGTCTAATTAAGTGTCAGTGCAACAGGAAGATGGAAATTTTACATGATGTTTTTTTTTATTATTTTGTAAAATCGGTTATTTAAGAAGTTACAGTTTGCCTATTATTTACGAAATAAGCTGAGTTCACTGAACATTGCGGATTTATTACATGTCTTCAGTAATAAATTATAACTAACTAACCAAGAAATGTTAATAAAGGTAAAACATATTTGTCTCCCCCTAAAAATAGATAAATAAAAGATTCAGTACATAAATAAATGAATAAATAAAACACCGAAAGAAATAGAAAAAAATATACCAAATATAAATACGAAGAGAGTCAGATGGACAAACGTTTTGTTTTTTTTTCACAAAATTTAACTCATTATAAAACACGAGACACGAAGGAGAATGGAAGCACGGTCTCCTCGCTGCCAATTAACACAGCGAAAGTTTACCTTGGCTTCCTCTCTGCCTGTCGTATCTTGGCAACGGTATCCCATAACCTTTTATAACCCCCTTACCCCTTCCTCCCCCTACCACCTCTCCCCTTAACCCTCTCTCCCCTTACCCCCTCCCCAGCCCCTCTCCCTTCCCCTTTATCCCTCCCTCCCCCACCCCTTTCCCTTCCTCTTGCCCTCCCTCCCCACCCCTCTCCCTTCCTCTTGCCCCTCCCTCCCCCACCCTCTCCCTTCCTCTTGCCCCCTCCCTCCCCCACCCCCTCTCCCTTCCCCTTATCCCTCCCTCCCCACCACCTCTCCACCCCCCCTCCCCTTACCCCCTGCCCCTATCCGTCTTTCCTCTTACTCTTCTCATCCCCTATCCCTTCTTTCTTTCCCTATCCCCTCCCGTCTCTCACCCCTCCCCTCTCCTCCCCACCCCACCTCTTCCTCCCTTACCCTCCTCATCTCCAAAACCCTCTCTCTCTCTCTCTCCCTCACCCTCCTCTCCTCCTTACCACTCGCCTTCCCCCCCTTCCCACCCCCTCCTTACCCCATTATCTCTCCCCACCCCTCTCCCCTATAACCCTCCCCCTATTATGGACAAGCACATGTTTTTTTTTTTTTTTTTTTTTTTTTTTTTTTTTTTTTTTTTTTTTACGGGTCTTGTTTTCATTGTAATATTCATACTTACCATGACTTGTTTCAGTTTGGTTTCATTCGAGTCACGCTATATATATTGTTGTAGGTCCGAATTGAATATAATTACCATCACTGCTATCAATATAATCATTATCATTATTATTATTACCCTTATTACCATAATTACCATTGCTATTATTATCATTGTTGTTGTTATTATCATCATTATTGCTGATACGGTTATCACTATTAGCATCATCATTACCATCACTATTACTACAATCATTACATTTAATATTATTATACTATCATTGTCATTACTATTATTATTACTATTATCATTATCATTATTATCATCCTCATTATTCTCCTTATTACTAATATCAATATTATCATCATTCTTATCACTATCGTTATTACTAATATTATCGCTACTACAACTACTAGTAGCATGCTATCGTTATTATTTTCTTTGCTTGTTAAACTGCTACTATTTTACCGTTATTATTACTATTATCATCATTTTATTTACTGTTGCTATCGCTGCTTGTCAACAGTCCCATTACCATTAATCATCTGTTTATCACATTTTGCTCTCATTTGACTAAATGTACAATTCAGCTATGGTAATAGTATTAGTACTATTAGCAATAATGCAGTAATTGCTGTTGCCTTGTCTTTGTTGATGATGCAGTGACTTTTACGCCATTTATCCTTTTTACCTAATTAGCACATTTAACAGGATGTTTTAAATTATTATCATGCACAGAAGGATGATGTAATTTCACTGAATATGAGCACGGCAGACCCAAGTGTTTTCTTTCTTTCCAATTTTTGGATTTGATTTAACATCTGAGAGATTGTTTTCGCCTCGCGGCTATCGTGAGACACAACAAATCAATACAAACAATATACATTACAGACGCACAGTCAGAGTTTATAAATACAAGAAAATAAAACACGGTTTATCATATCCGTTCTTCATTAATCGTATAGTGACATCTGGCAGCCTCTCCGTCGAAGCAGGGTGTGGTAAATAAGTCTCTGTAACCATGTTTGGAGTCATGCATTTGTTCATGGCCGCAGAGGGTGGAACATGCACTCATTGTTGTCTTGGGAGCGCTGGGATCCATCCTATGCTATGTGTGGGAAGCAAAGGAACCTGTTTTCTTTCCCCGTTTTGATGCTGTCTGCTCTGTGGCATATCTATTTTTACCTGTGTGTGTTTGATGTTTTTTTTTCTTATTGCAGAGGGGGATTAGAAAGGAAGTATATGTTTTTTTATATATATATTTTGCATTTGTTTAAAAATATGATAATCCCAAGCTCTCGACAAATATTACCATGCATACGTGTTTTACCGTCTACCGTCTGCCCCTCCCCGATAACCTAAAAGGAGAAATCAATCCTTATAACGGAAGCTTTAAAAAAAGAATTGGATATGCGTCACTCCGACTTCCTTTCCCGGTATTCCTGGAGAGTTCCCAAGTTGTTCCGGGAATTCGTTGTTGGTGGTAAGCGGGGTGGCTGGTACGCAGGTTACCAAATGTCGCTACGTACCTATATCAATGTCCTTTTCTCCCGATCTCTGCAGTGCGGCTACAAGGCTGTTTTAGGGGGAGACTATAGGATATTGCTTCGGTATTTTGAGTTATTTTTTTTTATGAAGAATGTGAGAATGTTTGTTGGATGTCTGGCACGTGTGTTGGGGGATTAGTCTATGTATATTTCTAAATCTGAGCATGTCATCTGTGCTAAATACTTTTTGACGTGATGTAAGCACGAGGTCCCAGTGTGTGTTTTTTTTACTTCCGTCTTCCGAGTATGTAAGTGGCCTACACGGAATTCCAAAGAGGATTTTGTACGTTAAAAAGTCGGTAAATATTTAGCCGGGGCGTTTCCCTCCTCCACCAACGCCCGCTTGATAAGCACAAGAACACGGAACTTGGGGAAGATACATTTTTTTCCTTTTTTCTCTTCTCTCAGGGAGTGGTTAGACTGGTTTGGCATTATTGCATATTTGAGGATGATGTTGGCCAGGGCAATGAGCAGAATGATGGCAGAAGGAGCGGTTGCAGTCGCAGTGCTTAAGAGCGAGACACTTGGCCTCCCCCCCTCCCCGTCTCCCCCCGGCCCTTCATTGCACTTCATTAAGAATGATTGCTTCGGCGCTTGAGATTTTATCCATTGATACATCCTTCCACGTGTTTTGGTCTGAGATTTGTTTACTTTGACGAGAATCTCTAAATATTCAAGATGCAGTGGTAACGTCACTGGTCACATGACGGCTCGAGCTGACGTAGTAGTCTATTTTTAGAATGGTATGACGTCACGAGTGGAGGCCCAGGGTGGGCGGGGCCTTCCCCGTTTCATTTTTGTTCGGAATTTTCTCCACGCAAGATAAGATATCATCGCCTTCTTCGAGGCGCTATCGGGTCAGTCTTGCATGCAACTATAAGCATACACAATTACCAACCTAGATTATGAGCCACCAGACCCATATCCGCCCCGCTTGGCCCCGACAAGAGAAGCGAGGGTGAGCGAACTGCAGCGGCGCGAGCGAAGCCATCGCCCGAGACCGCACATCTCGCGACATATAGGAGCGAGTTCCCCGGCCGCGACCAGCCAGTGTATGAGTCATCGCTGAAGGGGGAGGAGTTGCCTGTAACGTTTCAAGTGACGCCACCGCCTCCCATGTTAGTCAGCGAGTCCGAACAGGTGACTAGGAGGAAATTCTCGCGCCGTGAGTCCAAGCAACCGCTGTCAACCATGTTCACTCGAGCGCAGGCCGCCGCCACCACCACAGCTGCGTCGAAGCCTTCTGCCACCACCACAGCTGCCCTGCCACCTACCACCACCACAAACCCGGTTGACAGTGCCGCTACCACAAATACATCCGCCGCCAATAGTGACGTAGTGCCTAGTGTTAGCCTCACCATTACAGCTGTGGCTACGAGTTTACCCGATTCCTTCAGCGCCGTGCCAGCGTTGGATACACCCACTATCACCAATATAGTGGTGAGTACGCGAGCTATTTCGTAATTTTTTTCATCTTTCGTCGTATTTTACCGTTTTTTTTACTCTGATAGGATGGTGTGATGTGATGTGATGTGGTATGATGTAACTGGAACAGGATGTAGATGTTTGGTATGGGGTTTAAATAGTTTTTTTAAGGCGGATGACTTTCAATTTTCAAATCGAATAACGTTTACTCACATTTGATTATTGATTCACTCTTGGTAGTTAGATATTTTTTTTGATTTTTTTGTATAAATGAACTTTGACGAGTCACATGATCATGCCAGTGAATAAGTTTCATGGATCCGTGAAAACGCAGTACGACAGTTGTGTAAATACAACAAAGACTTTTTTTACGTGTGCCCTAACAAGATGCCAGACGTACGTTTCACCCTGCATTTGTAGGAAAACAATGGAATTGCTTCTTTTTTGGACATTTTACGGGTTTTAGATACACATTTTTTTGCTTAAAAGTACGTACGGGGAAAGAGACGATCTTAAAATTGAGTTTCAAGGACGAAATATCAGCTGATCTAGAGAAAGAGAGTTTCACCATGCTTGTCTGTGAGCGACCAGCTGTAGAAGGTCTCTCTCTCTCTCTCTCTCTCTCTCTCTCTCTCTCTCTCTCTCTCTCTCTCTCTCTCTCTCTCTCTCTCTCTCTCTCTCTCATATAATATATATACATATATATACATTGCTAACATAGTTTGGAGTAGGTGAATACTGTAAGGTTTTTAGTTCCATGAACGAAACATAGAGAGAAAGGTGGGGGGACAGAAAAGGGAAGCAAAACTCAACTAGAAACAAGCAAACAGACAATAATCAACTACAAAGATCACGAACCAAGTGTAAAAGACAAACACAAACCCCAACATAACCCAGAGACAAGACAAAGTCACACAGACAGACACACACATCAGGCAGACAAAGAAAGGAGGGTTCGGTTAGGCAGGGGACAAGAACAGATCTATACGTCATGCCCTTAGGAAGCCAACTCCGCAGTAAGTAAGGAGTACTTTGGGTGTGTTATGCACTCAACGCATATCTAAGATAAGAATTACTTTTGTGAAGGGAGTAAGTTATCAGCAATTTAGATCACGTGATGAGGGATCCACGGAAATTCCCCCTTGAAGAAATTGCTGTCTAGTGTCATATCAAGCCTTAAGGGGAAATGATTTAACAGAAACTATTTCAATATTGTTTAATAGAGTGTAAGAGTGGAGAAAATACTATTTACGTGATTTAGGAGAACACGGTGATAAAGTTTTATCTCTTACGTCTGTTTTATCGGTATTAGTAGATACTGGTTACTAAGGGGTACCGTGTGTGTGACTGTGTTGTGTGTCTGTGGCATTGACGAGATCACCTGGAGGTATTGATCCATTGCAGCTGTTGCATTGGTCTTTGTTGCTTGAAGATATTGATTTGTTGCGTGTTTTGTACGTGTTTTAATGTCAAGGGAGACCACGAACTAACGTTTAGGAGAAAATAAACTCTCTCTCTCTCTCTCTTCTCTCTCTCTCTCTCTCTCTCTCTCTCTCTCTCTCTCTCTCTCTCTCTCTCTCTCTCTCTCTCTCTCTCTCTCTCTCTCTCTCTCTCTCTCTCTCTCTCTCTCTCTCTCTCTCTCTCTCTCTCTCTCTCTCTCTCTCTGTTTCCCTCCCTCCCTTCCTTTCCCTTTCCCTCCCTTTCCCTTCTTTCTTTCCTTGTCTTTCTTCCCCTCTGTCTCTTACTCTTTCTCTTTCTCCTCTCCTTCCCACACTCCCAAGTAAAATTTGCACAACCCTGCAAGGTAGGAAGTCGGGCGACCATGAGCGGGTGGGGGGGGGGGGAGTTTAAAGGGGCACATTGGAGGGACCTGAAGGAGGTGAAAGCAATGGAGGAGGAGGAGGAGGGAGAGGGGGTTAGGATGTAAGGAGAGGAGAAGGAGGAGGATGGGCAGAAGAGAGGATTGATGTGGGAGATGGAGGAGGAAAAGGAACAGGAATGATTCTTGTGTGTCTTTCATATTTATCGCTTCCTGTTTCTTCTCCCATTTTCCTTATTCCGTGCTTCTCCTCCTCCCTCTCTCTCTTTCTTTCTTCTTTCTCCCTCTCCCTCTTTTGTTTCCCTCTCTCCGACTTTCCCTCCTACCTTCTTCCTGTTTTCAGATCTCTCTCTCTTTACCTCTCTATCTCCCTCTTCCTCCTTCCTTCCCTAACTGCGATATCTGCCTTCCTCCCTCCCATTGCTTTCCCCTTCCTTGTTTCCTCCCTCCTCCCTCCTTCCTACCTCCCTCCTTCCTCCCCACCATCCATTTCCCCCCTCTCCTTCCTTCCTTCCTCCCCCCTTCTGCCCCTCCACCGCCTATCTCGGTCGATAAGCTTCTCGCCACCATAGGGACCCAGACCCACTTGGCGAAGGGAAAGGGGGTGTAGGGGAAGGGGAAGGGGAAGGAGGCCACGCAGAAAGAGGGAACAGGAAACAGGATATACAGTTTGAAGAAAGCCTGGTGGTGGAAGGGCAGGTAGGAGGAGGCGAAGAGGGAGGAGGAGGAGGAGGTGGTGGGGTGGAGAAGGAGGAAGAGGAGGAGAAAGGCAGAGGAGGAGGTGGAGGTGGAAGGGCAGGTAGGAGGCGAAGAGGGAGGAGGAGGAGGTGGTGGTAGGAAGGGGGGTGGAGAAAGAGGAGGAGAAATGAAGAGGGAAGTGAATGAGGTGGAGGTGGAGATAGAAGTAGTAGAGGGGGGGATAAAACATAGAAAACAAGGCAGAGATGGGAGAATAGGATAATGAAAATAATGACGATGATGATGATGATGATGATGACGATAGTAATGATAATGATGATAACGATAATGATAATGATGATAATAACAACAGCAATGATAATCATAATAGGAATTGAAATAAGTGAATTAATTAACCGATTAAGTTATTAATAAACAAAGAAACAAGAAAGGAGAGAAAGGGAACGAACGAAGGAGCTAGCGAAAGTGAAAAGGAGAACAAAAAAACAAATAGATAATCAAATTAAGTAACTAAAAACCAGTAAAGGAATAGCAAGGAGGGAAGAAAGGGGAACGAACGAAGGAGCTAGCGAAAGTAAAGAGAAGAAAAAGAAGAGCAATAAATAAACCAATAAAACCATTAAAAATCAACAAAGGAATAGCAAGGAGAGAAGAAAAGGGAACGAAGGAGCGAGCGAGCGGAAGAGGAGAAAATGACGAAGAACAAATAAATAAACAAATAAAGCAATTAAAATCAAAGGAATAGCAAGGAGAGAAGAAAGGGGAACGAAGGAGCGAGCGGAAGAGGAGAAAATGACGAAGAACAAATAAACAAGTAAAGCAATTAAAAATCAAAGGAATAGTAAAGAGAGAAGAAAAGGGAACGAACGTAGGAGCGAGCAGAAGCGGAAGACAAGACGCCAGGTGTGCCTCGCAAGACGTTTATGTCATCCCGAAAAATAGTTAGTATGACATCACCTTGAGAGAAAGGGGGTGGGGAAGAGGGAGGGGTTGTGGGGTGAGGGGGGGTGAAGAGGGGAGGGGTTGTGGGGTTGTGGGGTGAGGGGGAAGAGAGGGAGGGGTTGTGGGGTGAGGGGGGGAGGGGTTGTGGGTGAGGGGAGGGTGTGGGGGTAGGAAGGAGAGGGGGGGGTGGAAGGACGAGGGTTGTGGGGATGGGAGGGTAGGAATGGATAGGCGTTGTGGTGGAGAGGGAAGAGAAGGAAAGTGAGGGAGAGAGGGTGGTCGAGGAAGAGGGGAGGAGGGGGAAGAGGAAAAGGACAGGGGGAGGGGAGAGATTGTGGGGTGAGGGGGAAAGGAGGAGGGAGAGGGGGAGGGAGGGGAGAGAGAGGGTGAGGGAGGAGGAGAGAGAGTGGGGGAAGGGATAGAGAGGGGGGTGGGGTGAGGAAGAGGGGGGGGAGGGTGTGGGAGAGGGGGGTTGGGGGGGGGAGGAGTTAGGCTAAAACCGCGTCTTTTGCTGTCGAGGCGAGAACAACGTCTGTGTTTGCCTTTGGTTAATTTTTTGTTGTTGTTAATTGTGCTTGTTTAGGTTGAAGTTTTACTAAAGGTGCTTCGTTTGTGTTGCTTGTTTCTAGTCGATGTTTGAGCAAATAAGTCTCAGTCTCTCTCTCTCTCTCTTTCTTTCTTTCTTCCTGTTTCTGCGCGGTATCTGAGCACATGAGTCTCTCTCTCTCTCTCTCTCTCTCTCTCTCTCTCTCTCTCTCTCTCTCTTCTCTCTCTCTCTCTCTCTCTCTCTCTCTCTCTCTCTCATATTCTCCTATTCCCCTTCCTTATTGAAAGACTTTTTAAAGATGAAGTATATTTACGTCCTTGATTTCGTCACTTTCATATTTTTTTTACGTACACATACGTACCCGAAAATAGTTTTCACTGTCACTTCGGAATTTGCTCTACATTATTTAAATGTAAATATCCTCGCTATTTTTTGGAGAACAAAGACATACATGTGTGTGTGTGTGTGTGTGTGTGTTTGTGTCATCCTGAAAATCTGTATGACATCACCTTGAGAGAAAGGGAGAAGGAAAGGGAAACATGTCTGCCTTTCTGTGTCTGCATATATGTCAGTGTCTGTCAATCTCTTTGTTTGAGAGACTGTCTATGTATGTATGTATGTATAGTATGTACTGTATGTATGTATGCACTTATGAGAATAGTTTCCTTGGGCGTTGTCCATTTAAAGTCATGGTTTGCGACGCGTGGCGAGAAGGTAACGGGAAGTGGTCTGTTAACCCTTTAATATTTATGGTGATGACGCTCCCAAAATTCTCTCTCTCTCTCTCTCTCTCTCTTTGTATCTATCTATGTCTCTCTCTCATCTCTCTCTCTCTCTCTCTCTCTCTCTCTCTCTCTCTCTCTCTCTCTCTCTCTCTCTCTCTCTCTCTCTCTCTCTCTCTCTCTCTCTCTCTCTCTCTTATCTACCTCCCTCCCTCCCCCTCCCCCTTACTTTCTCCCTCTCTTTCATAGGGAAAGAAATAGCCAATTGGCAAGTACTCAAGGGAAA